TGATTTTTTTTTTTTGTTATGTGATTGTTTACCAACAGATTATCCAAATTGCAGGTTGTTGTGAGGGATTTTTGGACAATTGAGTTCAATGAATCGAGCTGGGTTCGATGGAACCTATTTGCTGGATTACATCGAACCTAGATCTGCTGGGTTCTGTCGAACTTCAATCTTGAAAATGGAAAGAACACCGTTTATGGAAAGAATAGAAACAGTAACCGATGAGCAAAGAAGCAATTCTTAGTGGTGATGTGGGACCCATTTAGATGGATTTGGTGCGTTTTTGCTAGGGTAGCATGTGACATAGCAAAAGTTTTATGCATATCATCACTTTTTTAAGTTTTGCTCTCCACATCATCAAAAAAAATATAAAAAATGCCACCTAAGCAAGGTTAACGATCCAAATTAACAGAAGGACTAACGGAGTGCATTTCGTATAGTTGAGGGATCAAAAAAGTGTAAAAAATTGTTGAGGGATCAAAAATATGCATTTCATAAAGTTGAGGGATCAGATTAAGCATTTAACCTTCCAAATTCTCCACCAAATTTACATTTTAAAAGTGTAGGAAGTGGTCCTCTCTCATTTTCGATGCTTCTCCTCCAATATTTGATTGGATCAACATCAACCTTTATATTGGTCCCATTGTCCCGCCGGCCAGCCCCAAGTAACTTGTTCTTTCTAACTTTTTGTCTTTTTGTCTTTTTTTTTTTTTATTATAGTTACTTTATATTTTAACTTATTGTTAGATTATGAGTAATTTAACAAGGTAATTTAACTTGTTAAATTTGCATTTTAAAAGTGTAAGAAATGATCCTTTCTCATTTTCGGTGCTTCTCCCTCTTCAATATTTGATTGGATCAACATCAGCCTCTATATTGTTCCCATTGTCCCAGTCAATTATTTTATTTTAAATATTTTATTTTAAATTACAAATTATTAATGATAAATTTAAACTCGATTGATGATATTTTTTATATAAATCAAAATGATAGTCATCTTTATACTTAGAGTTATATGATTAGTGTTTTATTTAATTAATATATTAATGTTATAATAATTTTAATTAATATCAATTT